TATATGTATATATGTATATATATATTGACAAGGATACACATTAATCTCTCTCTCTCTATCTCTATATATATATATATATATATATATATATATATATATATATATATATATATATATATATATATGAGAAATATGTGTATGCTCGGTATCAAGCATAAAATTTGTGCTTGGCAGCACAATCCCCTCCACTCATTCAAATGGGGAACGACGTTCACATGTGCTGAGGAAAGGGGATATATATACATATATATACATTTCAATTGAAAGAAGAATAGTAAAAAAAAAAAAAAACACATTTAGATTTGGCTCACCTCAACAGTCGACATGGCCGTAACAAATAATTAATTGTTGAATCAAGGAGGAGGAGGAGGAGGAGACTTGAAGTGGGTAGTGGGCTTGAGGCTTTGATGGAGCAGGAGTGAGACTACGAGGGGGGCTATATGTACTACTTTGTAGATCATCACTTGGATCTGTGAGCCCTGACCCTTTACAAACTGCCAACCATTAGCTGATCAGTTCCCTAGTATTTTAGTACAAACCCACTCAGCATGATCACATTCACACATGCACTCCCTGTACCTTTTAAAGATTCGATCATCATGTCCCTCATTACCTCTGAAAACAGCAGTAATTGCGGGGATTAATTACAGCCCAAGCTGTGTGAGTTGCAATTATTCGTTTCCCTTTGGAGCTTGTTACGATATTACAAGGGAAAAGATCACATAAATTTTCGGCATGATTAAGTTGTTGGGGAAGAAATCGAGCCTAATTTAGAGTTGATGGGCCTTAAACAAAACTTAGGAATCAATTTTAACCCAAAAACTATAGCTATTATAGGTATTGACCAAAACTCCTATTTAAACTTATCGCTCTTTCTTATCTTATCAGATGTGAGACTGACGCAGACGTAGAAACGGGGAGGCCGATCGGATATCGTTCTAATGCCGACGAGCCCTGACAATAGTAGGTATTTCACGGGCTTGAATCCACAAGCTCTAAGTTTCTCAAGTTTGAGAACGAAAAAAGGAGAAAATTCTCTTAATTGAATAATTGAAAAGTTAATTCTAGATTTACAGCCCAAGCTGTGTGAGTTGCAGTTATTCGTTTCCCTTCGGAGCTTGTTACGATATTACAAGGGAAAAGATCACACAAATTTTCAGCATGATTAAGTTGTTGGGGGAGAAACCGGACCCAATTTATGGGTCTTAAACAGAAGTTAGGAATCATTTTTAACCCCAAAACTATAGCTATCAGGTATTGATCCCAATTTATGAGTTTGTGATCTTTTCCATTGTAATAATGCTCGAATAAAAGCCCACGCTTTTATACCACAACAATTATAATCGTAACCATGAGAACTGAGGTTATCCACCGGTGATAGCGAGAAAACTATTGGGAATAAACAAATACATATGAAGCCAAAAGACTGCGTCCAGCCCTCAAGCCTGCTTCTCATGATCATATGCGCGCTTTCACGCCCGCCGAGGCCAGATTTGTACACGTGTCACTGAGGCAGTGGCCGCAACGGGCAAGAGCAGTACTGGCTCTCCACCTTTCAAGCCTGGAAAGGGAGAGCACGCGGGCCCCGCGCCATGGGAAAGGGCGGTGGCACGGTGGCCCCCGCAGAAGACATAGGGGCCATGACGCTGACGTGGGTGCGAATCTCTGGTTCCCTTGGTATTTTCCGCATGAGCTTTGCTACAGTGATTCAAAATATAGGCCAACTTGTTATACAATAAGAGAAAGATAATAATGATGACTAGCTCATTATGTAACAGTAGAAAGACGCCTCGCATGTCCTCTTGTTGGTCCGATATTTTAGGTTCTTGAGAAATTTTTTATTTGCGCAATGAAATCAGAATCTAAATCTAATGATTGTTGCCGCATGGGTTGGGGGTTTATTAAGCGAGGCCCAGCAGGCGCCCCCTGAACGTGATACGTGTCGGCAGCGTCGGCAGCGGGTACTGTAAGCCCATGAAGGAATGGGCCCCCGCTGACGTGGAAGTGAACCTTGGTCTGCTGAGTGAGACGCGTTAATTATGTCCTTATCGTGCCCGTGAGCCCCGAATACCTCCGTAATCAGCTCACGGGCTCGTTTTAATCCGCATCAGTCGCTCAATCACGGGCTCTAATCTCACCCTAATCTCTCCGTCCCTATTTAAACCCAAAACAGTTCTCCTTAATTACCCCCATTTAAAAAAAAAAAGAAAAAACCGATGGCAAAGCAACCAAGTCCCCTAGCCATCACATCGCTGCTGCTGGGCCCTTAAAAGGGCTGACATGGGCTTTAATAATCGTTTATTTGTGCTGGCTCAAGAGAGGCTGATTACTTTGGGACTTGTATTTGTTATGATCGTGAAAGAAACGTCCGATCCAATTCCTACTTGCAATTATTTTTAATTACAAGCATTGTTATGATTTATCCTTCTATAATCTTTTCCTTAATTTATTCGCGGTCCATTATCACAGATTAATCTTACAAGACATATATAAAGTTTAGAAAATTAATCAACATCTATTTGTGGGGTTGATTCCTAGGCTTTTATTTTCCTCTGATTCGATGGCGATGGTAAGCGTCTGTCATGCTCGTCTTTGTCCTTGTCCTGACACGTTGCTTTTCATCCGGTTTTCTTTAAATGATGAAGAATATCAAATCATAACGAAAAAAATTTTCCGTTAACCAAGAGGGTCTAGCGAAGTTGGTTAACAGCTTATGAGTAGTACTTCAAGCTCAAGATCTCGGATTCCTCAAGATCTCGGATTCGAGCATCTTAGGGAGTATCCATAGGAATTTTAATTACAAGCATTTTTCAATTCTTTCCGCAACGAGTTCAAAATCCAGAACGTACTTGGATGACTTGTAACCTTGCAGCCAACAAGCTAGCCGAAGCTTTCAACAAGACAATCATCAAAAACATTAATTAAGAAGTTCCAACTCAGGCAATAAGCATGACTAAGAGGAGAAACTCGGTGAACGTCCTTAGACGGTGAAAGATATAATACGGCAGGATCAAGAATCATACTGGATCATGTGTAGAGAACTAACAAATCATGCGTAGAGAATTAGCAACTGCAGAGCAGCTTTGAGAAAATCCCAACATCCCACGCCAAGCAAATTATACATGATCGAACAAAACAATTATCTGGGGGCAAGCACGGTAAGTTAACATACAAATCAGCTCACATCTCTCGTTTTCCATTGACGGCCACCAACGAATAGAGAAGACCACCCTTGCACAACTCGTCTATATTGATGAGAGCATACCGAGGTACTAACATGTCTCTTTTTCCGTTGAGGGCCACAGGGGAATAGGGAAAACCACCCTTGCACAACTCGTCTATAATGATGAGAGCATACCAAGATCCTTTGGTCTCAGAATTTTTGAAGCGTCTCTCCACTTCCTTTGACAGCCATAATCCTTTTGACATCAAAGGGAGAGGAGATGCACCTAAAAATTCCGAGCCCCAAGGATTTCAGTGTGCTCTCATTTTATAGACAAGTTGTGCAAGGATGTTTTCCCCATTCCTCTGAGGCCCATTATGGAACAAGAGAGATGTTACCTTACCACCCTCATAATTTGTGCGCATAACATCTGGTGCACTTTCCTCGGATGACGCCCGTTGCAGATGAGGAAGAAAGCAACATTAACACACTCGTTTCCACATAATGAGACACAGAGGAATGGGAAAGACCACCCTTGCACAACTCATCTACAAGGATGAGAGCAAAAACAAGTCCCTTGATCTCAAAATTTTGAAGTGCGTCTCCACTCTCTTCAACAGTCATAACGCTCTGATATCAAAGAGAGTGGAAAGACGCTCAAAATTCTGAGGTCAAAGGACTTCAATGTGCTCTCATCTTGTATAGGAGTTGTGTAAGGATGCCTTCTCCATTCCTCTGTAAATCCATTGTGGAAGAAATGAAAAAAGAAATAGTCCCACAATTAGCGTGCATAACATCTGTTGCACTTCTCTGAGAGGAAGCGGACGAGGATGAAAACTGTACCAGCTCTTTTTCTCCGTAATGGGCCACAGAGGAATAGGGAAGACCACTCTGGCTCAACTTGTCCACAACAACAAGGGATCCTTCGATCTCAAAATTTGGGTGCGTCTCCACTCACTTTGACAGCCATAACCCTTTCGACATCAAAGGGAGAGGAGATGCACTCTGATTTTAAGATCGAAGATGTTACAGACAAGTTAAGCAGAGTTGTCGTCCCCATTTCTCTGTGGCCCGTTATGGGAAAAAAAAAGACTTTCTTCCTCGTCTGCAGCTGGCTTCATTTGCCATTGTAGTCGTCTTCTGATGAAGCTGAAATAACTAACAGTGCTAATGCTTCCAGCGTGAAGTTCTGCCCATATATCACCACCTCTAAGCAACGCTCATGGGCCAAATCTTGTATAGTAAATCACACGTCTGTCTCTTCACCTATACCTCAACAGTTATACAAAATTGCTTATCCATAAAACATTATTGACCGTTCTCCTTGGTTCAGCATCGTCACAAGCTGCGGCACTTGGATATCTTCAAGGTGAAAAGCACATGGAGATAATTGTCTTAACCTCTAATCTCTTGCTGGGTAAAACGAGAAAACGCTAGCGACCAACTCCGGCGCTCCAATATATTTCTGTATCTACTTCAATTGATCTCTGTCCCTCCTGAGGTAATAAAACCGAGAACACAGGAGGCACCTCAAACATAATATCACAGAGCAAAAATGAGAAGGCCATTTCTTCTAGAAATTGAAGGGTGGCTTGATGAACCTGACATAAGAAGTTCGCAAGTTTGTTGAGAAATATCGTTATAAGGAACGGATTACTGGAAGAAACAAAAACTACCATAGTACAAAATTTACCATAGCGACAATTTGTTGAGAGCAAACAGACACCTTGACATAGTACCAAGTGCAAAAATCAGAAGGCCATTTCTTCTAGAATTTGAAGGGTTGTTTGATGAACCTAACACAAGTAAGCTTGTAAATTTGCTGAGGAATATTGTTGACTTGAGAACAGGAGTGGTTACAAGAAGAAACAAAAATTACCCATTCCAAATGTTGAGCTGTCATGCCAGATACATTCCCTGCATAAATTCCACCTAATACCTAGCAAACCAAAACATATATATCAGTAACAATACACAATTTCTATCTATAGTTGATTGTTCGGTGAATATAAATTAACGAGAATACCAGTACCTTGGAAACAGTCTCAAGGAACATGCCAGGGCGAACAGGACGTGGTTTGCGGCCCGTTACACTTCCCTTTTTAAGAAGAGAGAAACAGTGATATACCGCTATGTTTTTCTCATAAGTACTGTAAAATAATAGGTTTGAAATATATGTGAAGCAGAACTCACTCTTCCTGCTATGCCACTTAATCTCTGTTGTGTGTTTGAGGAGTCTTCATCATTGTCATCCAAGGGATCCGCACCCTCATCTTTACCAAGCAACACATTATTTATCATTTCCTTCACAGGCTTTCCAGGTCTCAAAGCAACAAGCTTGCTCAAAAAGTTCACCTGTTGGTTCCATTAAATATATTGCAGCAATAAGAAGCTTCTTCAGATTGCATTTCAGATATTCTATTGTTGTATCCTTAGGTGAAGCCTGTCTTAATCATGTGACCATAAGCACACTCGTTCAAATTAATAGTAACATATCTCGACAAAAACAAGTCTACTATAAAGATGCTCCATCACAGAATAGTTGGTTTTTCAGCATCGAACTATAAAAGCATGCCTATCTTAAACATTCGGAGGATAAAATGCTAGCTGTAATTTTTACAAGGAAATTAATAAATAGGAAAGTGGCAACAGACCTCTGCTTCCGGAAGTGTACTCAGACCACGATCATTTCTTTCATCCAATAATCCACCGCCCATCATATTACGAGCTTCTTCTCTGATCAGAACTAGTCTTGAAAGCAGTTTCCGATCAGGAATTGTTGGTCTGGCTTCCATAGTCTGAAACAGAAAAAGCACAATAAAGCCAAAAATTCTCTCATTAGCAGAAATTACTATTCATATATTTGTTAGGGTTAATTGCGAACGGACCCATGTAGTATCACCCAATTACAAATAGCCCGCCTTTAGTTCTGTTTTTACGAATAAAGCCCCCCGAGTAAAACTTTTTTGACTCTTAAAGTCATTAAAAAATTTTAAGGAGGCGGGTACTGGTAGACCCCTTACGCCTCGTTTGGTACGCGGGAATGGACAGACTTGGGAATGGAATGGAAGAATGAATGGAATGGATTGCATGTGGGAATGGAATGGTCATTCTCATTCTCTTGTTTGGGTGCGTTCGTAGAATGAAGCTAGAATGGAAATATCATTCACATTCCCATGTTTGGTATCATTAGTACACAAGTGAGAATGAAATCTCATTTTCTAATAATGACCTTACAATAACATAGATTTTTAATAAGATAAAAAATAAACATTAATGATAATAACTAAATAATTTTATATACGCATATGTTATATTAATCTAGGTATGTGTTATACTAATGCTCGTGTTATCCATCAGGTGTATGTTTCGTTTATATTTTTTAAACAATACTCGCTATTTCTTAGTCTTAAAAATTAAAGAAAAAAAAGATTATCGTATCTTTCATAGGTCCAAAAAAAAAAGAATGATATCCACAATCCACAGTTCTAGATATATAAATTAACTTATTTGATAAAGTATCAAAATCACTCAATTCATAATAGCAAAAATCCATAAAACAATACCAACTAAAATAATAAGTTTCGAAATAGCAAAATGATATACTAGCCTAAATTGTCAATCTAAAATTGCCCACTTGCATAGGCCTCACCCAAACATTCTTTATTATTAATATGGATATAATTGAAAAATACCTAACTAGTTTTTGATTCTCACTTGAATGGGAATGACCATTCCTTATCTTCTCACTTGGAATGCTCATTCCCACAAATAGTGGGAATGATCATTCCTAGGGAATGGTCATTCCAACATCTAAAATATTGGTGTTTGGTATGAGGGAATGGGAAGTGGGAATTGCATTTCATTCCTCCTCATTCCCGCGTACCAAACGAGGCGTTATAGTTCTATTGGTGAGGATAGACCTCAATTGCTAATTTTTACTTTTAAACGAGTCGAAAGAGTTCACTACAGGGGTGTATTCGCACCTAGGCCAACACTACAGAGGGGTATATTCGCCACAAAAAAAATTTCAGGGGTCTATTCGCAATTGGGTGATACTAGAGTGGCCTATTCGCGATTAACCCTATTGTCACGCCCTAGGCCTGCGAGCCCGTTGGCACGGTGTAAACCGCAGGACGCACTAAGAGCAACTCGTTTGGCTAAATCTCCTGCTAAAAAGTGTTAGAACTTGTTACTCTTGAGCCCTTTGGATTACATTACAAACACTTTGAAGTCCTCATCACTTTTCGATGTGGGACTATTCTTTTGGGTATTACACTATTTCTTATATATTTGCTCTGGAAACAATCGTCGTTTTCTAATAAATCACTTCCATAGAAAGATTAAGATAGTTTACCATAAGTGATTATTTAATTTAAAGTAAAGAGTGAAGAACATTGCTTTAGGATTGAGAAATTTATAGAGAAATAAGATGAATCAAACAGTTCCTATGGAACAAGCTAGTTTGGTTATTTCATCCACATCAATATGCATTTTATACAAGGTAATTTAGTTATCTTATTCAAACTATCTGATTCCTTTTGTTCTATAAATAACATCTATTAACAAAGGCTCTTTTAGTTTCAGCCGAGTTTTCTAGAAAACAAATGAAGCAGGAGCATTTAATTTACTAGAATGTAACACATAGCAGTAACACACAGCAATAAACAAATTCCCTAATTTCTGCATTTCCTCATATTTCCCCCTTCTCACAAACCACACCTGCAATTACCCTCGATGACTATGACGACAAGTGTGAGCGTGCGTGCATGTAGAAATAAATATAATGGAGTTTGATGGCTATAAGCTAGTAGCTCATTTGTTAAATGCGTTAACAAGAGAGAAGGGAGGTGAGACCAACCCATCTCATGTGCATAGGAGTGTGGGCATCACCACGTCTCCATTGCATGGTGACTCGGTTAGAAACATGAATAAATGGGTTGCCACCACGTATCCATTATTTCATGGTGACACACCTACAAAAATGAGTATTGAGTTGCCACAACATATCTACTAATTTTGTGTGTCAAGTAGCACATAAACTTGCTGATAAGCGAGAGAAAACATTATGCATGAATGGTCATAGCAAAAGAATAAACCAACAAGCTTGAAAGTTTTTTAATAGTCAAAGAGAACTTGTTAAACATTAGGATTTTAGTGTTTTACCTCTAGCAAATCATCTGCCTGGTTAGCAATGTCATTCAGATTTGCTGCTGGAAGTTGAACTTTAAGACCATTTTCACTTTTAAAAACACCACCACCCGCGACTACTCGGCGTAGTAATTCATGTCTGCTTTCCTTTTGCGGAGTTCGGCAAAGCAACCCGATTACTTGCACCTTCAGTAGAAACCAGAACGGTTTTAGACTAGCTCAAAGGCATGGGTTGACAGCAACTTTATACTTTGTTCCAAATTTTCACCAGCTTAATGTACGATACAGCAAGGCTAAGAAGCTTACATGTGGAGGGCATTTCTTGGTGAGATGGTCCAGCACTGTTTGCTTGATCACCTCCAAAAGCGACTTTCGCTGGACACGCAAAAACAATTTCAATTATATAAAGATAAATACTTGTCCCACCAAAAGTATCAAATAGAAATTAACAGCCATAATAGATCACCCCACTGAATGTTAAGATAATCGGAAAATCCTAAAAGCATTACATTTAACAAAGTAAAGTTATCTTTTCCTGTTCGCACAGAACGCATGCCAAACTTACAAAGAGCGAAAGATAAAATTAAAAACAGAGCTGATAGCTGGGCCAAGCATTTCATCAGTCACCTGGTGGTCATTATCCTTGTCAGCGATCTGTATCATGTAGTCCATCGCCATCATGAACCCAGACTCCATCTCATCAACCCTCTTCCCGATAACCCCTTGCGCTACAAGCTCCACCGCCGCCGCCTCCGACGAGGCATCCAGCTCCATATCCTCCAGCTACAAAACCAAATATTCCCAAATGGGCATTTCATCAAACAGGTCGCAAGCATGAAACAGAACCAAGCTAATCAAGAAATCGATCATCCAGGCAAACTAAAAGCCATTCGGTCCGGTACCAGAGCGATCATGTCCTGGAGAACCGAGGTGACCTGCTCTCCCCCCCTGAGCAGGGCCTGGTACTGAGATGGGTCCCACTTGCCAGGCTCCGAATCGATAGAGGGGAAGCCCGCGGGCGAAGGGTCGGCGATGGGAGAGAAGTTCGAGGAGAGCAGGGAGCGGATCTTGGCGGAGGGGGGTCTCGAGAGAGGGAGAGAGACTGGGCGTTTGGAGATGGAGGAGGAGGAGAGAGAGAGGAAACAGGGAGGAGAGAGAAAGAGAGCAGCCATTGATTGATGGGTGCTCGTTAGGTTTATCTCTCTGCTCCGTGCTCTGGGGACCGTGCTTATTAATAGAGGATGATGACGACGGCCATTCCTCCCACCTCTGCTACGTGGCGAGCTCTGAGCGAAGATAAGATGACGAGATAATTTAAATTATTAATTTATTATTCAGAGTGCGGGCGGACAAACGCGTTGTATGGGGCGCCATCCCGGCCCACTGAATCTCTTCTTTAAAAAGAACGGCCCAAATTTGAGCGTGCCGCGTCACCTTGGTTCTCCATCTTTTGCTTTGCTCTTTCTTTCCTTCTGTTTTTTTTTATTATTTTTTGAGTTTTTATGAATTTATTATTTTGCTATGGTACCCGACAGTTTTATCTATTTTCTCAACATGGCACGTCAAATCAATTTTTGAACACTTTAATATCTAAAGTTTCTATTTTATTTCCCTGCTAAAATTTTGTTGAAATCTCTGATAAAAACGTGTTGAGGTAAGTTGAGGTGAGGGAAGAGAAATTGGAAAATAAAATGAAAAGACAGAGAGAGAAATCTATCAAATTGAGATGTAATGATGGTTTTAACTTTGCATTTAATGTTATGACGGCTGGCTGTCGGCAATGAGTTCGAGAAAAATCTTATTTCATCTCGGCTTTTCAAGAAGGCGGAGAAAAGACGCCTTTCGATTGGGCCGTTCCGGTGAGAGGGTTTTGCGACTCGGTCCACTAAATGACAATGCATGGATTCAGTTTTAGTAGCAGGGTCCGAGTGAGGGCGTCTTTCAACTCGTCTCTCTAGGAAGTGTTAGTATTTGTTTGTAAAAAACAAGATAGTCCCACATTAGAATTTTGAACATTCTTTTAGAGGTTTAAAAGCATTGAATGCTTATTGGGCTTTGAATAATGGATCAACGTGTAGGCTTTTAAACCCGTGTGCGGGTAGCGCGAATAATGCATTTTGAAAAGTTATGACTGTTGGAAGCACATTTTCAAACCTATAAATAGTTTATGTTTTCAGATATCTAAAAATAATTATTTTCTGAATCCTTTCTATCAAAAAACATCTGCAATATTACAAACTTGTTTCACAACGAATTAAGGAAAATTCCAGATTTGCTTATTGGAATTTTCATTTTCTGTTGTATCCTGGGAAGAAATTTTGTATTAACCTGAAGCAATTTTGAATATCAAGTGGGGTCAAATATTTCTTTAAGGAAAGTGTTTCACGCCTAAGAATTTCTGTCTCCTTCATTTTTAAATCTAACAGGAAGGGGCCCAGTGATGACGTCCTTTAGCTTGATATTCATGGAATCGGGTCGAATCGGTGTATAGTTAATATAAGATACGTGTCACCTCCTGAGATGGGATTAACACTTAATCATTTCTACGATATAACAATACTAGATACGTACAAAATTAATTTCAAGGTTTAACTCATTATATTTCAGGAATCATATAGAAATTCAATGATTGATATCTTTGGATGTACACTTAATATCTTTTAGACGAAATTGATATCTTTTTGATGTATATTTATATCATAAATCCTTCTCACTGAATACACATCAGCTTCCGTACTGTTCTTAAGCCCAGTGACGAAGGCTAACAATAGGATGGCCTACGGCTACATGGGCGGTTCACACTGCCCAATATTTGTTTCCTCCAAGGTTTTGTAGGTGATTCACATTCTACTCGTGACCTTTGTTCCCTCTTTTTTGTACCAAAAGCACAGAAGAGAAAAAAAAAAAAACTCTATTAATACGTGGCTTTACAAACAAGTAAATGTCCACCTACTTAATTACACAAGCAATGTGATCAAGATTGATGAGCTAGCTCTTCATTCAGCTAACAAGAACTACTTTTTACAGCCAGAGAGACGGTATATAATGCTAACTAAGGTTCTTATAACGCAAACTCTACATTTTTGCTGGATTTTTTTGGGTCAAAACTGCTTTTCAAAAATAAGTTTTTAAACTATATATTTATTAACTACTGGTATTTTTCAGAAATCTTTAGTAGCGTAGTGGAAAGTAAAAGTTTTGGTGTTGCGAAAGGTCATGAGTTCGAGACTCGCCATAAGCAAGCTGGGAATTGTTTTTGTCTTAAATAAATAAATTAATCCCTCATAAGTACTCGTGGGCCCTGGGCTCGTGGGCCGTGAGCCATGGGCCAATGAGCCGGGGATCGAAGCTAATCGGGCTGAGGCGCTTTGTTAGGCGCACTTTGCACTTCGCACGGAGGCATCGGGGCTAGGTGACGCCACGTTAGCTGCCGCTGTACACGATGTACACGATACACGAGTATATGGTAAGCGTTAGAATCTGATACCAAATACAACCGCCGATTTAATGATGATAGCTAGTGATGGACAACCGTGACAAGGAATAGTGCTTCCCACGGTTAAGATGATGCACACAGAACCGGTCTGGCTCCAAGTAATGATCGGAGACTAGGCCCAATGCATAGGGCGAGTGTAGGGCTTTACATGGATGATATATTGTTCTTGAATCAGAGTG